GCGACACCGCCTTGGATGTGTTATTGTGTGTTTGCAATGTTTTGGAGTGTATGAAAATTGCGTGTAAGGATGTCTTAGCGTATTAATTACGATTGATGTATCATTTGGCGGATGATATCATTGTTGTAAATTAGTTAAATAAATGTGTATGTGTTGGTTGGTTTGTACCGACCGCGTCTATGTGTTCGTTCACTCCAAGAGCATGGCGTGGCGCTCGCTCGCCTCGTCGAGACCCCACACTGGCTGCCCAACGTGGAGCTCTTGGAGTATCGGACGACAGTTCTTGTGGTTTGGTAGAAGCTTTATTAGAGTGGGTGTAGAGTAGGCTTAGGGGGACTTCTTTGATAGCGTCGGCGGTGTGCTTTTTTGAGAAGCGAAGATATTGGTTTTGGGATGTGTTTGAACTTGTTGGCACTCGAGTTTTTATTTTTTTTCTGCACGCAAGTGTTTTTTTTTTTTGTTGTTAGTTTTCAAAAACGTTGTTGAATTGAGACGAGAGCCATGCGGTCTGCATCCTGGGGTGAGCAAGGCCTAGAGCACGTGGTTTGTAGGCCAGGCCCGAAGCGAGTGAGTACGGAAGCCTCGTGTGTGGTCCGATTTTCTGTAAATAGCTTTTTTTATCACTTCGGGCTCAGGGAGCCGGGCGTCATTGCTGACTTGTATTGCGGCGCGACGCCGGGGCATCGTGACACCGCCCAGGGCGGTGGACGCCGATAGCTCGGTAAGCTGCTGTGTGCGGCGAGCGATGGGGCCACCTCACAGAGTGGATGTCTCCTCGCGGCTGCCTCTTCTGTGCCTAGGCTGGGTGCTGGGTGGATGCCGGTTGTTGCCGAGCGACTCATTAGGAGTAAGGCTCTGCGCAGCCACCTGTCGCACGAGGCACAACTAGGTGGATCGTGGCGTTGAAGTGTTGCGCTCTGCTTCCTTCACTTTTTTTTTTATCTTGCGATGCACGAGTTCGGAAAAGTGATTTGTGTTTTATTTTGATGAGCGTCTCGGCCGCCGCCCATGTATTAGCTAGCCGTACTGACCATCGTACCACGTGGCCGAAAAGCCTGAAGCTCCCTTCCCTAGGCCCTGCTCCATTGTTCTTTCGAGTTTTTTTTTGTGTGTGTATTCAGCGGGAAGGATGTCATCCACGGCCGGCTGTCTTCTGCACATCGTCAGCGTCGCTGGCCAGGAATGCGGTTGTGTTGTGAGGTCGGGCGATGGAGATGCCTGGGACCTGCGCAACTGCCTGCAGTCCGGCGCCCTCGTGAGTGCTGGTCACAACTGGAAGACGCGTCGGCGCTAGCGACGGTTCGTCGCGCCGACGGCTCGTCGCGCCGACGGCAACGTTGCTGTTGCGGGGCCGGTACTGAGGTGAAGTCGAGCCAGACAGTGCAGCAGTGTTGACCAGAGGCGGTGTCGTGGTGCAAGGACATTATGGACAGGCGATGTCATTTTTTTGTTGTTGTTAAAGCTTGTGCAGCAGATCTTTGTTTTCGGGATGTGGTTCGATTTAAGGTTGGGGGAATGTGGGGGTGCTGAAACCCCCTGCAACGTTGTTTGTGCCATGTGGCGCACGTGTCTCGCCCCAAAGCCGCATTTCGGGTGACAACCGCCGGGCAATAGGTGGTGTGTTCGCGTTGAGTACCACTGTTGGTAGAGTGGTAGCACCGGCGGTGACTCCTGGCGGAAGGCGGGCCTTGGTGGCGGGCGAGAGTTGAGCAAGGCTCTTCTGCGCGTGGCAGTTGCCGCGAACGGTTGTCTCTAACGTGGGCCTGCGGTGCCATGCACCGAGGGCCCACGTTAGAGACAGCCCACGTGCGACGCTGGGGGCCCGCGCGGTAAGTCAAGCGTTGGCGCCGCCGCCTTGGGTGTATTAGTGTGTTTGTCGTGTTATTGTGTAACGATGTCCTAGCGTATTACATAACGAGAACGAGTTATGTATCAATTCGGTGGACGATATCGTCGTTGTAAATTAGATAAATAAATGTGTATGTATGTTGTTTGGTTTGCACCGACCGTGTCTGCTGTGTCCGTTCACTCCAAGAGCATGGTGAGGCGCTCACCTCGTCGAGAGCCCACAATATCACATGATGATACGTAGCCCACACAGCCTTGTGCACGTCATCCACATTCCCAGAATGAGATTTCAAAGCCCAGTGTAATAACTCATCAATTTTGTGATGAGGTCACCCGTGAGGCAGCCCTTGCTACTGATGCGCTCGCTGCTGTCCCCTTTGTGTTTCTACATGAGGTTCCGAAGCGTAGTCCCCATGCGCTTCTGCACATGGTTCGAGCAGTCTTCTTTTTGAACATTGATGAAGCTGTACACCTTAGCTTTTTTGACAGCACTGTACAACCGGCTGTCACCATCACAAAGCATGGTGGTGTACCTGAGGCCATGAAGCGAAAGGGAGCGCTGAAATAAAATCATTGCTGCCTGTACTTCCATTTGGTCAGCCTTGCATGAGGTAGTTTTCAGGCATAAATGTTTGGCTTTCCATTCAGAGTATTCTGGGCTCTCAGGTTTTAGACCACATTCACAGCTGAGGCAAAAATTAGAAAGCACAACATAGTCTAGTGCATGGCCTGAAAAAACTTATATCACAGTGGCTATTCCAATGTGAGAGGTGCGTCCTCTTGTGCGCCAGCTTCCATCAAAAGAGACGGCAATATTTTCGGGGTTGTGGAAATTGAGGTCCTTGTAGGAGCACTTTACTACTGTGGCACACTTAGCCAAATGTTCAGCACAAGCTCTCATTGCTGCTGGCTGAAGCTTCATTTTCAAGTACTCTTGGTACGTTTTCGTGTGAAGGCCCCGATGTGAAACACCAATAGCCGCGAAGATGTCATTCGGAGCTGTCTGATCATTACCAGTGCTCTGAACCGCACGTGCCGTGCGAACGTTGATTTCGAATAAGTTGCAGTTACTGATACCACCAACCCGTCGCAAGCTTCATTTCGAACCAACTTCTCCGCAGTTGCTGCAGTAAAGCTTCAGCTTAACGGCTACGCCGTACTCACGAGCATCGCGTTTGATGGTCAACTGACCACGGCACACTCGGGAAGCAGAATGTTCGTTTAGTAAACTGTTCACCATATCGAGGTCCACCATGGTATACGTCGGGGCTGACAAATTTTCGGTGCTGCGCTGGCTCGCGAGAACACTGATTTTGCGGTCGGTTGCCGAGACCGAGGAATGTTTCGCTGCTTTTTGCAGGGCGCGACGCTCGATGAGTTCTCGGTCAGTCGATGTCACAAAAGTCACGCCTATCCTCGCAGCTCGATCGCGCATACTTGAAATACTGCAGGCAGCGGTCGCAGTCACCGCCACACTTTCCCCGGCTGCGAGATCTACTGCAGCAGCATTCTCTGCTGTCTTAATAACAAGCGGCGGCGTTGTTTCCTGGCGCCTTGTTAAAGTATCACCGCAATCAGCTGATTCCGTCACAATTGCTTGTGTTGCAACGCCGCTTCGTCATGGAATCCATTGCGCTCTTCCGCTGAGATCTGCAAATATCTTCGTCGGCACTTGCGATAATTTATGGCACTCTGAGCGTGTGTCACCACTGTGAGAAGCTGTAGCGATCGAAGGCTGCTTTTGTGTCGGGCTGCTGCATCGCGGCGACTGCTGGTCTCCTGTCCCGCTCTGCTCTGCCGATGTAGCCTGCGCTGGCTTCGATGACTCCTTGGGCTGCACAGCACATTCTTTACGTCGCTTGCCGAATTTGTGAAGTGTGCGAAACTTTTGAGCACGGTTCAGCTTCTCGATTTCGATCGCAAAACTACAAAGCTTCCAAAATGGTGGTGACAACGCACGTGTTTGCAGCCGCGCACGCGTGATCACCAGTGTTGTTAGTCCCCGTGCTCCAATCACAAGCCGCTGTTCACTCACGTGACTGCTATGGACCAATAATACCACACGGTTTTGTCGCTTGTTTTTGCCTGGTAGCAGACTGGCTGCAGCATTGAAGGTTCGTTCCTAGCGGGAAAGTGAGCTCAACAGAAGCTCTTTCAAACGAGACTAAGATGGACGCGATCCGATGAGTGGTTAGCGCGATCCGAGCAACGCAAAAGAAGGCTATTTTCGGCGATTTCGTAAGCGAGACCAAGTGCTGAGATGAAAAAACACATTTTTTGGCTCAACGACGCGTCATTTCTAGTACATTTTTTGCTGGCAGGTGCGGGATGATATGAAGATAACGAAAATTACCAAACTGAAAAATAGATATTTTTGGCATTTTTTTCGTCACCAAGACCCGTGTTCCCCCTTAACACTGTCCGTACAAGTCGCATAAAGGCACGTTGCAGAAGAAATACTGATGTACTACGTATATGAATTTTGTTTGATGTGTGAAGAAATCGCTGTACATGTCAAAAATTCAATGGAAAAACTTGTATTGCATTTTTTTTTCTCTATAATTCACAACCACATTTCCCCTTCTCCCATCCAAAATAATTGCAGTCGAACCTTTTTATAAGAGACACTGATATAAGACCCTAATGGGTATAAGAGACACCAATGCGTCTACAGTAAAATGTGGGCTCATAGAAAAATGCACACGAGGTACCTTGCTTATAAGAGCTATCTCATACAAAAGACAAGAATTGTTGCCCAGAGCATGCATCTTATAAAGGGGTTCAACTGTATATGGTTATGAAGCACGCTACATGGTAGGTGCACAAAGGATTCAATTTGATCACCTGCGCTTTCTGAAGGGGACCTTAAAGAAAATAATTTTTCACATACTGATACTTTACAATTTTGCAATACCAAAAACACCATTATTGCAAAGAGAGAACACTTCTTAAAAGTGGTGATGCCACTTTTAAATTCCCGAATTCCTGTAACAAATGTTGCAACATAAAAATTTTGACGATGTCTACTAGGTCCTACATAGTTCACACTCAGTCAAAAATGAAGTATGTTGCGACATAACGCATAGAGATTTCGGAGTGGAATTTGAGTGCGGTTAACAGAAAAAACAAAAACAAAAACGAAGTGCCCCCACCTTTTGAAGGGTGGCTCTTGCTGATTCAGTGTGGCGCACCTGCTCGACCATTGACCTGTTATCCCGAGTCAGAAGTTCATTCTTCATCTGCAACTCCCTGCGTCAACCACCACAATTAGAGTGATATCTCATTCATGCTATGCAGCATACTAAGCTTTCTGGGAAAAACAATTTTTTTCCCCTTTTTGGAACCAACGTACTGTAGGAAAAATGCCTTTTGGTTAAGTACAGTCAATCCTGGATGTATCAAACTCGAAGGGGATCGCAAAATAGTCCGATATATCAATAATTCAAAATACAAAATATACGTATTCAAGGCCTAAATTGAAGCATTTCAAACCTCGAAAATCTTAACATGTGCTAACGTAACTATTCACTCACAGTATAATGAAGAACAAGGTGTAAACTGCAGGTTACCATACTTTATTTCGCATGAAAATAGTCCATAGGTTGGCCTAGCTTGTTGCACATCGTCAAGTTCTAGTCATCTTCAATATCATTGAAGCTTTTCAAGTAAGCTAATTCAGCACCTTCGGCCACAACAGCGTTGTTTGAAGCAGAACGCCACTACAAATAGCTCGGCAAAATGTTGGTTAGCTGGGGCAGCGAAAAGCGTTGGCTTATTCATAACCGCACGGGCATACTTCCACAGACCTGGCCACGGCAGCCAAAATCTTGGTATCGATGCAGTCAGAAACAGCTGTGTCATCATCTGCACCGATGAAGCCGCTCACTCTACGAGATGGTGCCGGGAAAGTCTGATAAGTGGTAGAAATCACTGAGGCACCGTACCCCGTTGTCAGCGGTCATGCTGCACCCAAATTTGTCACCTGGCCCACAAGGAAAGTTCAAGACGGTGCTTTGCTTGACCTCGCTTCAAGCGCCAGCCACAACTTTTATCATTACATGTGGGCCAACGTTAAGTTCAACTTCCTAATGAAGATTTATCAGGAACGAGGTGAGAAGTACACAAGTCCACAAGGTGCGAAAGACAACATCGAGTTCTCACCGTCGACAAGTGGGCAATATCGATGTCACTTGTGATTTTGCAGCTGGCAGCCGCCGCTTTCAGCTGATTTGATGCAAAAAGTTAGAAGAAGCGTAGCCTCAGAGACACGTGTTTTGAAAGAGAAAACACTAAAAAATGTCACGAGGTTGCACATATCGATGGCCATGCTTTTCAGGCTCGCATGCCACTGTGCACTAACAAGGAAGGGAACTATGAACATTATAACTAGATCGCCGAGTCATTTCACATTCTCATTTTGGTGTCCTCGGCAATTGGTCTTTCTGAAAAGCACTATGCCTGTGCGTTCAGACCTGCAGATCATGCACCGAACATATATGTGCACTCGCAAGCACCGTGCAACAAGCCCGATCCGCGCGATAGAATAACACCGCCATTTCGTCACCTGTGCGTGAAAAGTGATAGAAATTGGTTTGAACACGGCCAAAAACTGATCAGTATTTGCTAGGAAAAATGCACTTTCTGGACTTCGGCGTGGCACAGCGTTCTATATAGTGGAGTTCCTGCTGTGCAGGAGTTCGGTACAGGGGTGCACCGGTTCCACACTTTTGCATGAGAAATTCAAGGGGATTTCTCAACTGTTTCATATAGCAGAGTTTTATATATCCGGGATCGATTGTATTAGAGTTAACATGAAGTATTATGGATAACGTGATTTACTTTTCAACAGAATTGAATAATACGATTTAGGGAGTGCATATTTACTGATTTTTGTAAAACTCATAGTTTCATATTCCTGCACAGGTTTTGACACAGCCCTCAAAACAAAACTACCACTCTTTGTCACTAGCCCTGCAATAGTGAATGACAACCCCAGCGTTATTAAGGCACATGCGCAAGAAGCGCGCACCTAGTCCAAGCAGAACTCCTGCAAAAAACTAGAATATAAGTCGAATTTAGACACAAAGAAAATGCAATGTAAAGTCGACCCTCGTTTTATATACCGGTCATTGGCAAAAAAAAAGTGAAAAGTGAAAGTCTCACAGTAATGTGCAGCTGAAGTCAAAAACCTCCATTGCCATTGTGAGCATCAGTAGCAGCGCCATTGGGCAAGGCTATGCAAGGCATACAGTATACTAGCAATGCCATTTTGCTTTGGTTATCTGCTGTTAGTCTGCTGTTTTCTTTTTTCTATTTCCTTCAGAAATAAGGGGTAGTCGATGGCAGTTTACGATAGGCTTTAAGAAAAAAAAAAAGTTATCGAGTATACCGAAGTGCATGGCAACCTGTTGGCACAGCGAGAATTCGGTGCATCGGAGAAAAGCGTTCGATACTAGAGGAGCCAAAAGCAGCGCATCACATCTTGCAGCAACCAAAAAAAAAAAAAACTTCATTTTGACGTCCCCTCATGCCTAGGCCCAGCCTGCTGGTTTCTTACAATAAAGTTTATTCCTCCTCCTCCTCGTGGATGGACAGCAGTGCACCCCAAACTGGAAACACTACTCATTGAATTGCTTCAGAAGCTGCGTGGAAGATCGCTACCCGTAACAGCGAAGTGCATCCGCGTGAAGCTCTCGAGATAGCACGCAACTGGGCTCAAAAGGGTGCAATTTAAGGTATGATCGTGAATGCGGCAGCTCATGAAGCGGAAGGGCTTTGCGCCGAGGGGGCATACTTTGGTTTTTCCGCAAATGCTGCATCAGTAATGCATTGAATGGAATGAAGGATGATGCCCTTTGGGACGTTACTAGTGCAAAACGGACATCACCGGACTCAAGTTTGGACGAGTGTTAGTGACAGCACTTTGTCGCCTTCTGCCATTTAACTACATAAGATTAGTGTCCAAATAAAAAAAAAAAAAAAGTCGCCCCAGTGCAGCTGGTTGCGCTGCGTCTTAACCAAGGTAAGGGTGCGCTACGATACTTTGCAATTTTTTATAAACTTATTTTTCGGAGATTCAAAGTTTGGTGGTTCGACCTATACTATTCCGGTTTTTACGGTACATTCTGCCACAACCACTGTGAACACAAATGTGCTAGGGTTGACATGATGTTAAGCAACCATGAAAGTATGTGCATATCCAACCCACACTGACTGAAGGCAATGCTGCTCACAGCAACACTGTGGACAAAACCGTGGTAGACGTGATCAGAGGTAGCAACGACGCAGTTCTGAAAGCACTAATGGAAAACAGAACTGCTGTTTTCTGCAACCGCTTCACAGAAAACCATGGTGGCTATCCTCGGGATCATCCATAGGTAATACGCTCCGAAACTAACACAGCCGACTAAAGCCAATAAGGCCGTAAAATGGTGCGAAGTATTGGGGATTTCCTAGTTGCTTAAAGCTATAGTAGTGTGGAGCTCCAGCAAGCTCCAAGGGCAGTCTGAATATCATGTTTTATTTTTGTATAATGTGCCCCTGCAATATAACTGGCAGCTTCGACCACAAACCACGGAAGAAAAAAAAACCCGCTTATTTTGACACAACGCCAATTTCCTTGCATTACTATGAAGGTGTGCCGTGAAGCCAACATTGAATTTTGTGTATAACTCGTAATTAGAGTCTAGCTCTAAATTTTCTGTATATTTTGTGAGTGTTATATGTGGAAAATACATTCACTCAGTGTGCGGCCGAGTACCGTATTTATTCCCGTAATAAACCTACTTTTTTTTCAGAAAAGTTGAAGCCAATATGGGGGGAGAGTTTATTACACAGGAGAAAAAGGAACACGAGTTATAAGAGCGAAAATTTCGCATGACAATTTTGCTTGTTTTGGCCCGCAAAATGCGCGACGAATCATTTTTGTAGCCCGACGCTCTTATTTTCTCCCATAAAGAACGGGCCTGGATCGACGCCGAAGTGTCGTCCAGCCGCTCAGTTCCCACGCTCCAGCACATGCTCCACCAACTTTAAGTTTAAAGCTAGCCTTGTGGCTAGTGTACCAGCTGAATGCGCCTTGTGCAGCAGGTGTCCCAACTAAGTTCATTATGACAAACCCGACAACAAAAATGCAGCGTCGGATGGCGGCGCTCAAACGTTTCAAGTGCATGACATGCCGTCGGCGCGTTGCGTGAGGTTTCACTTTCAGTGATAAAAGCGACATTTAGATTTTTGGAGTGGATTCCGGAGCAGAAAAAATGGTGCTTTGGAGCAGCTGTAAGTATTTTTGGAGAAGAAAAAAATGCTAGTTCGAAGCAACTATTGATGTTTTCAGAACAGATGGCAAAATATTCTAAACGACTCGCAGAGCTTAAAGCGTGATATAAGCTTCTTGCAATTATGAATAACTACCAAACATATTGTATATAACCTAATCACTTGAAATAGCATGAAACAATTAAGCATATGAATGGTCACTAAACACTAAGTATATACACTTCAAATGCCAGTTCTAGTGGCATAAATGAGTTAAGGGGGGACGCGGGTCTTAGAAAAGTAAAAAATGGCCAAAAAATCGATTTTGAGAAAAACGCATTTTTCGAATCTTTGAACCTATAAGCACCTCTCCTCAAATTATTAACGCTAAATTCGATAAAAAAATAGGTTAAAATCTATTTTCAAACCATCACGGGAGTCGCAAAACAACCCGCAAAACAGAAAATTTGTTCGAACTTCCCGCGCGCGCCGCCAGCGAAGCAGCCGGCGGATCGGCGGCATCTTGGGCTTGTTTTGAAGCTGGTTCCTTTGTGCACGTTTTGCAGGCTCTCAAAATGGCGTAGCTCCAACACAACGACTGCCCTCCCCCGTTTTGCGAAGCCGTCTGCCGGACCGCTGATTGGCTAGAGCGCGCGCGCGCCGGCGAGCCCCCCCGTCTCGCGCTTACCATTGGCTGGCGCAGCGGCGCGGCCACGGTTGCTCGCTTTTTTTTTTTTGTTTGGTTTTGCTCCGTCGGCGCCTGCTCTCGTGAGTGTTATCTCGTCTGCTACCCGCTCGTGTACCGACGTCGCCGATGTATACGTCTTTCTGCATTTCGCCGGCATGGCTTGGGAAGCTCGCCTGAAGAAGAACACTCGTCAAGCTTTCGGCAGGAAACGAAAGCGAGTGTGGAATGCGCGGCAGAAGGGAGCGGCCTGCGCGCCGCCGAGAACGCCGGAGATGGCCGAGGCAGCGCATTCTGACGACAACGGGCTGTCGGAAATGCCTGTTATTGCCCAGAATCCTAGTGAGAGCTTACACGCTACAATTTGGCAACAAGTCCCCAAGACCACCCATGCCTCACTGCGCAGCGTAGAAAGAGCAGTGGCTGAAGCCATCAGCCGCTTTAATCAGGGGGCCACGAAGAGCAATGAAGCAATTGCTGAGAAGCTAGGCTACAGTGCAGGAAATCTCTTCATGCGTCGTAGCCTTGAAAAGGATAAAACCAGGCTTCACAAATCGCGGAGGGAGCACCTGCAGAGCAGTTCAACAAAGGCAACACTTGCAAAGCGACATAAGCCTGCAAGAGACACTACATACAGCCCTGGCATGCTGTAGAATTGTAAGGATGTCTGGAACAAAAATGTGTGTTTTACTTGAAATAGTGTTTTAGGTATAAAAGGGCGATGTTTTTATATATAACATGTGTCTTCCTTTGGTTTTCAGTGCACTAGAACAGCCACAAAGTTGTAGACTGGGTTCCTTATACTGATTCAACGGCCAGTACACAGTTTTTAAATGAGCTGTGGCAAATATTTTGGGAAGGTGCATTGACACATTTGGTACAGCCATACTCACATAATGTAGAGCTATACAACGGTGCCATTTTTATTGCTCTAGCTTCACTTTAGCAAAAGTTACAGTTATTAGAAACTTTAAATGCGTTTTTCTCAGTTCGATGTTTTTGTGCACCACACTAAACCTTAGGGGTTTTTCTTATATGTTACTGTTGATTGAGAATGACAAACTTGATATCATTTTATTTGTAATAACATTACCTATGGGGTGATGCTATTTTGATTACTCTAGAAGCATACTGTTAATTACAATTATGGATAGTAATGAGCGAAAATTGAACAGAATATCCATTGTAAGTGCTGGTCTGTTTTCTTATCTATATAATGCCTAAAAATTAATAAAAATAGCATCACCCCATACAGAAAGCCCTCAGCATTTGGGCTATGCATTTATTTTTTGGATCTGGCTTGATTAAGTTGCCAAAAAGCCCCCAATGAAGTGCATAATTCATTAAATTACAGATGTTAATATCTTTTTATCCACTGAAGCTATTTCAGAAACAATTACATATTTGAAATCAGCATGAAAAACTGTCCAAGATGGTGAGGTTTGGTCAAGATTGCGCCAAAAACAGAAAAAAAATTTTAAAGACCCATGTCCCCCCTTAAAAGCACTTGGAGTGGTAAATGTATTCAGTCACACACCAAAGAAATCAAAGCGGCAGTTAGTAATCATCATGATGCTGAACGAATCTCGCACGAATTTCACAATAGTCTGCTTGTCAGATATACCATATTTACTCGCGTAATCCTCGCGCTCGCATAATTCTCGCACCCCCCACATCGCCCAAGAAAAATACGATTTCTTTTTTCTCGAGTAATTATCGCACCCCCGAAAACTGCCGCAATAATGTCGTCTGCTCGTTCCAGCCACTGATGATGATAGCGCGCGCCATTTGGCGCCATCTCTTAAGCATCAAGCATACTATTGCATGCAAATTCAATGCAATCCAAGCCAAGCCGAAGTGGCCAGTGCGCGTTGCGGCGTGTTTTGTATGCTGTGTCGGTAATCTTGGCACGTTATGGTGTGATACTGAAGCTACACGGCTGCTTCAAGTTGCAAGTGATAGATGACAACGGCACTAAAACGACGGCAACAGGGTTGCCGGTAGGCCCTTCGGAGTCTACGAGTTTTGTGATCGCTACTGGTGACGGCAGCTGAAAGCCACCAAGATGCGTTGGGCCTGCCGTGGGCCTAAAACTGGGATTGATGGTAAACTTTATTTCGTCAGAAGGAAACTGCGGACGATTCTGTTAAATAGCCATAAGCCCAATACTGACGTCCTACGCTTACCTTTTGAGGGCTCTTGTTGAGCGACGAACGCTACCATTACGCCCGCAACGGTCACAAGCTTTGCGTATGGTATTCTAATTCTCGACCATTTTGCTTGCACTTTTTGAGTCTCAAATAAATCTTGCCTTGTGTTGAATCTCTGCTTTTATTGTTGAGGTAACTCTTAATTAGTACTTCTCAAAGCTTGCTGTTAGTTGCTGGTGTGAGAATCCTGATTTGCTGCCACTTCGTTTTTTTTTTCCTCGCTCGGTACGCTCTCGTGAAAAGTTCTCCCCGCGTAATTCTCGCACCTCCCAACTTAGCATCGCTTTTTCGGCAAAAAAAGTGCGAGGATTATGCGAGTAAATACGGTATATATCCACAATGTTAGTACACGTAGAATTCTCCATCTGCTAATATACAGCCAGTCTTTGTTTCAATTTAGGCTAGCTGTAAAGTGACACCCGATTAAAGATCACTGTTTTCAGTTTCCCAGCTCTAATTCGGAGCAGGTTTGGAGCAGTTGCCGACAAAAATCACAGTTTGGAGCAGCATCTCTCTTTTGGAGCAGTTTGGAGCAGCACTTCCATCACTGCACTTTGCAAGGCCCCCTGAGACGTCGGGCACGTGGCGTGTTTCTATGCCACGCACCCGCCCTCTTGGAGGCCACGCACTTTGTTTTTTTTTTGCTTTTTGTGGCACCGTGCTTGTGTGGCTCTAAGAGGTTTCTTTCGCAGTTATCAGATGGCACTTGCCACAAAACTTGCAACTTTTAAATTTTGACTGACATCGTCCACACTCGCCATACTCGCGCTGCTCGCAACTGTTCAGCATGGCTGCGAAATTATGTTTTGACTTTTATTGCATCGTTATTTTGTCATACAATTGTATGATTTAACATTGTTTCGATAGTTAGTAAGACTGGCTACCACACCAAACTAAAATGAACAAATATATTAAAATTGTTTTTCTTTCTTCAAAAACCAAGGTGGGGAGTGGGTTCATAATGCGACTAAATACGGAATGTCTGAAGTAGCAAGAGTTCAATGCATGCACTTGCTAAAACCAAAGGACAAGGACAAGTCATAATCATCAGGTCTTATTGAATTTTGTGGTCTGTTTATTAAATTTCACTGCAACATAATTCAGCATTAATGATTATTTGCACACATCCCGTCAATTCTGTTGTAGTGAAATTTGACTGTATAACCCCCTGCCGTGCCGTGGCTGGGCACATGTGGTTTCACTGCAGCATGGCGGTAATATGCTGCACCACCTACCCAGAAGATATCCAAACTGCCGCGAAGCCACACTTCATGGTTAATGTAGAGTCGCCCTGACTTTTAAGTGCTGTGCAGAGCGTTGACATTACTGTGTGTCAGCGCCACGTGATGGAACGAAGTTTCAAAAAATTGTTTTTTGGACATGTGGTATGATGGCATGCACTTGACCTTTTTTCAGTTCAGTTTTATTTCCTTAAAGACCCCCATCAGGGGGCTTTTCCAGAGTCAAGGTTGGTGCTTGCAAATGATAGGCGAGGATTTGGGCAACTGTACACATTACCTTCACCTCAATTAATAATATTTTAAAATTTAAAACCATATTACATATGCACTAAGTATTGTAAATTTTAAACACAATGTATTGTACCAGTTATAACCTGCACCCAAATGCTATACAAATCTTGCTAGTAGTACTATTCACAGCTGCTTTCTCTTCGAACCAAAACGTCATGTTCACAGATGCCTAGTTGTGCAAGTTAGTCGGGCCCTGTTGAAAATGCTCATTTTTCTTAACATGTGATCCATACTATTCAAACCCTTCGAACTTATTCGACCAATTCGCCCATCCCTTCAGATTCGCTTCAAACCTGACATTTACTAGTCACCCATCCCAAGTATTTCTGCGCTTCACTCCTTTCGAAATGCAGGTGCCGTGGCTGGGAATGAAACCGGTATTCTTGTGTCCTGGTACAGTCATAGCTACTAAGCCATCATGATAGAAATTATGGTGAATGCGACAGTGTGAAGAAAATCAGTGCTTTGTAGCTTGTTGTGCATACACAACAGTAAAGAGATAAATCCTAGGATTAAAATTAAAAAAAAATAGAGTGAGAAAGAAAGCATCTGCATTTAAGCCTACCACAAGAACTTCCGTCACACCGGCGCTCGCACTGCATGCTTCGCCCCTTGCTAGTTTCATAACACCCTACTGTAGCAAAGCCAGAGCCTGTAGTTTTCCTCACAGCTTTGCAATTGTGCCAACCAAAAAGAAAACAAGAATGCTTACGCAATTTTACTCTCCAGCATTTTGATGGCTCCTCCTAGCTCTGCCTTCTCCTTCTTGGCATCTTCTGAACACTGCTTCAGTTTTTCTTTGTACTGCTTGCTCTCCAGCTCAGTCAAAAACAATTGGTCCTTCTGCAGGGAAAAAAAAAGAAGACTCGTGTCATGACTCATGAGACCCAAGGGCATTGGAAAATTGCTAGGCAAACGCTGTGGTCTCTTCTTTCATGCAAAAGTAGAGTTTAATCCTTTGTGCAATTCCAATTAGATCTATTTTGCCAGTCGTACCAAAGAGATGACTAAGATTGTGTATGATATTTCTCTTTTTTTCTTTTTCTCACTTGTCTTGATATTGCATGCAGCATATTACCAGACAACGCATACATGTGTGTATATATGCTTGTGTATCGGGTACAAAAATGTATATACCTATAGTCCACATTTTCATTCGTAGGTACAGCTTTTCATTCGTGAATTTATAAATATGTATCTATATCATATTCTCCAGTGCATACATGGCACGTTTGTATAAATTGCACCCCTACTTTTTACGATTTCTGCAGAAAAAAAAAAGAACCTATGTAAGGGGCACCTATTTTACACACTGCCAACATCGTAATACACAACGATGCATGACGAATACGTTCATTGCAAAATGCGTAGTCCCAGGCGGCGTTGAATATCTCTAAGCAGCTGTATGAACTTTAAAATAACACTGTCCTGAGGCGCAGAAAAGCAATACTTACCGTAATAACCGTAATACAGGTCGAATTAAAAAAAGAAAACGCTACTAAAAGTCGACCCTTGCAGAAAAAATGGTCAAGTCTCTCCACAATGGCCAGCTGAAGTCAAAAGCCTCCATTGCCATTGTGAGCATCAGTAGCAGCGCCATTGGACAAGGCTAGGCAAGGCATACAGTGTACTAGAAATGCCATTTTGCTTCAGTTATCTGCTGTAAGTCTGTTTTCTTTTTTCTATTTCCTTAAGAAATGAGTGGTAGCCGACGGCAGTTTACAATAGGCTTAAAAAAAAAGTTATCGAGTACACTGAAGCGCACGGCAACCTGGTGGCACGACGAGAATTCAGTGCCTCGAAGAAATGCGTTCGATACTGGAGGAGGAAAAAGCAGCTCATCATATCTTGCAGGAAAAAAAAAAAAAAAAAAAAAACTTCATTTTGACGTCCTTTCATGGGAGGCCTAGGCCTGGCCTGCTGGTTTCTTACAATTAAGTTTATTCCTCCTCCTCCTCGTGGATGGACAGCAGTGCACCCCAAACTGGAAACACTACTCATTGAATTGCTTCAGAAGCTGCGTGGAAGATCGCTACCCGTAACAGCGAAGTGCATCCGCGTGAAGCTCTCGAGATAGCACGCAACTGGGCTCAAAAGGGTGCAATTTAAGGTATGATCGTGAATGCGGCAGCTCATGAAGCGGAAGGGCTTTGCGCCGAGGGGGCATACTTTGGTTTTTCCGGAAATGCTGTATCAGTAATGCATTGGATGGAATGGAGGACAACGTCCTTTGGGATGTTACTAGTGCAAAACTGACATCACCGGACTCAAGTTCGGACGAGTCTGAGTGACAGCACTTTGTGGCCTTTTGTCGTTTAATTACATAAGATTAGTGCCCACATAAAAAAAAAATGTCACCACAGTGCACTTGGTTGCATTGCGTATTTACCAAGGTAAGAGTGCGCCGCGATACTTTGCGATTTTTAAAAATTTCTTTTTTGGCGATTCATAGTTAAGAGGGTCACCCTATATTCTGATTTGACCTATATTCCCATTTTTACAATATTCAAAAGGATTTGAAGCCACATTTTAGGGTACACTGTCAAAAGTTCTTATGCCTCGGTTGGCGGCACCATGGGGTTGCTGTTGTCGGCCTCTGAGTAACTCTCTTGCGTGGCATTGAAAGTACCTTCCAGCATATTGTAAGTGTTGCTTATACCCCGTAATGAGGCTTTACGGAAATACACAAACAACAGTCGTGCCACTCGTTCGACACCTACACTCACGCATGCAAAACGTGAATGATGACTGAAAGATAGAAGATGCGGTAACTACTGCAAACAGTGACTACTGTTGGGGTGCTGAACCCCCTGTAAATTCGGTTGCACCACGTGGCACACATGTGTCTCACGAATAGATCACGTTTGGGGTTAACCGTTGAACAGAATTGAACACGCTCTGAAAAATGGAGGAAGCGTCAAAACAGTGAAGAGGAAACTTGGGATAGACGAAAATCGGATGTATGCACTAAGGGACAAAGAAGGCAAATAACTACCAATATGGATAGGATAGTTAAAATAGCGGAGGAGTTCTATAGAGATCTGTATAGTAGCCGGGACAACCAAGACCTATAAGAACTAGCAGTAACCCAGATAACACCCCACCAGTAATGATAGAAGAGGTCAGAAAAGCTTTGGAGAGCATGCAAAGAGGCAAAGCTGCTGAAGAGGATCAGGTAACATCAGATCTGCTGAAAGATGGAGGAGAGATTGTGTTAGGAAAATTAGCCACCCTGTTTATGAGGTGTCTCTTGACGGGAAGAGTACCAGAGTCTTGGAAGAACGCTAACATCATCTTAATACATAAGAAAGGAGATGACAAGAACTTGAAGAACTACAGGCTGATCAGCCTGCTCTCTAGTATACAAGCTATTTACAAAGGTAATTGCTAACAGAGTAAAGAAAACATTAGAATTCAATCAACCAAAGGAACAAGCAGGATTTCGAACAGGCTACTCAACAATCGACCACATTCATACTATCAATCAGGTAATAGAGAAATGCTCAGAATATAACCAACCACTATACATAGCCTTCATAGATTACGAGAAAGCGTTTGATTCAGTAGAAATATCAGCCGTCATGCAGACACTGCGGAATCAGGGCGTCGATGAAGTATATATAAACATCCTGGAAGAAATCTACAGCGGATCAACTGCTACCATAGTGCTTGATAAAGAAAGCAACAGAATACCAATCAAGAAGGGTGTAAGGCAGGGGGACACAATCTCCCCAATGCTATTCACCGCGTGATTGCAGGAGGTTTTAGAAGCCTAGAATGGGAACAGTTAGGGATAAGAGTTAATGGAGAATACCTTAGTAACCTGCACTTTACCAATGACATTGAATTGCTGAGTAACTCAGGGGACGAATTGCACCTCATAATTACGGCGTTAGACAAGGAGAGCAGAAAGGTGGGTCTTAAAATTAATCTGCAGAAAACGAAAGTAATGTACAACAACCTCGGAACAGAGCAGCGCTTCGAGATAGGTAATAGTGCACTTCAAGTTGTAGAAGACTATGTCTACTTAGGGCAGGTCATAACCGCGGAGCCGAACCACGAGATATAAGTAAATGTCTACTTAGGGCAGGTAGTAACTGCGGAGCCGAACCACGAGATTGAAGTAACAAGAAGAATAAGAATGGGGTGGAGCACATTTGGCAAGCACTCTCAAATTATGACAGGTAAATTGCCACTATCCCTCAAAAGGAAGGTATATAACAGCTGTATCTTGCCAGTACTTAGCTACGGAGCAGAAACCTGGAGACTTACGAAGAGGGTTCAGCTTAAATTGAGGACGACGCAGCGAGCAATGGAAAGAAAAATGGTATGTATAACTTTAAGAGACAAGAAGAGAGCAGAGTGGATTAGGGAACAAACGGGGGTTAAGGATATCATAGCTGAAATCAAGAAGAAGAAATGGACATGGGCCGGGCATGTAGCGCGTAGACAGGGATAACCGCTGGTCATTAAGGGTAACTAACTGGATTCCCAGAGAAGGCAAGCGGGTTAGGGGGAGACAGAAGGTTAGGTGGGCAGATGAGATTAAGAAGTTTGCGGGTATAAATTGGCAGCAGCAAGCACAGGACGGAGTTAACTGGCGGAACATGGGAGAGGCCTTTGTCCTGCAGTGGACGTAGTCAGGCTGATGATGATGATGATGATTGAGCGGTAGGTGGCGCCCCGTTGAGGCTGGGTGGCGGCATGAGACATGAGAGGCGCGGTGGACAGTTGTCTCCTGAGGAGGTCCCGCTGGGTGCCGTGACCCCGGGACATCTCTCATGGGTCTGCAGCAATGAGTCGAACATCAGCGACCCCGCCTTTGCGTCACTTTTTGTTTTTGTTATGTTGAGTGAGTATATTGGAATATTGTATAAGGCATGTATGTTTGGCGTGTTGATCCCTAGTGATGCATTTAATTCGACTGACAATACAGTCGATGTAAAACTTCAATAGATGTGTTGTTTAGTTTGGTCCGACTATGTCTGCCGTTTTTGTTTGCTTCGAGAGCAGGTTCTCATATTGCGACCCCACAAGCCTCACGCGAGAACCGATCATGATGATAACAAGTACTTTCGTTACTGCAGCTGGTACTGTGGGGGCTATTGGGTTACAATGAAATGTTGTGGTGCCCTTTACTTATTGCTTCAATTCCCTGGGTTTAATGGCTCATTTAAGAACAAACAATTTGAACAACACTATCGTTTGTGTGGTGGTGGTGGCATTTGTGAAGCCATACTCTTCACGGTCACCGCAGTGCTTGGACAGCAAATAGCTGACATCCAAGACCACACCGGCTTCACTGTTACAAGATTAAATATCGTTTTAAGAATGCTCTCACGCTCTGTTTGTCATACTTGTGCATAAAATATTGAATAGTGGTCTCGCAGAATCACATGACTTCTTGCGTACCGTAAAAGCCCGCGTATAGCCTGTTTTTTTTTTTTTTTTAGATTTTAGGGTACGCGATTTTGGCCTCGTACTATATGCAGATCTCAAGAATTTCTGGCCGAAATTGAGTTTTGGCTTCGGCATAGCTTGGCGCTATCATTGTCATCAGGTGCTTGCACGCTTCTGCGCTAGCTAGTATTAGCAGTGGTAGCAGGCGTTAGTTAGTCTTACAGACCCACGCGTGAAACAGTGCTCAGTGGCCTTTGCTTCAATTTGGCACCTATAACGACGGCTACGATTTTGCTCCTCTGATTTTACGCCATGTCAGCACCGCCCAGGCAGTACTCGGCTGCCTTTAAAAGGAAAGTTATAGCTACTGCCTAAACCATTCACAACTGTGCTGCGGAGTGGCATTTCAGAGTCAATGAGCAGAGTATTCACGGTTGGCGGAA